TATTATTATTATTATTATTATTATTATTATTATTATTATTATTATTATTATTATTATTATTATTATTATTATTATTATTATTATTATTATTATTATTCTTACTCCGCTATTCTATCTAATCTATAGGAGCTTAGTTTAGACTATACGGTCCTTCTTAGGTAGTTATAAAGGGGAAAACCCGGGATCCCGGGGAAACCCTTTATACTTGTCCTTAGTTAGAGTAATACCGCTACGGGGCCGATATAGCCCCGGTTCGTCCCTTCTATATATCTGGATTATACCTCTAGGCTAGTGGCTAACGGGAAGGGTAGTAGGCTATAGTTCGGGTTAGCCTAGGCCGGTTATTAGTAAGGGGGCGGGGGCTAAAAGGGTGCCGCGGTGTCTCTGCTATATGGCGACCGCGGTACGCCGTCTCCTGCCTGCCTATATCCCCGGGGGCCGTGCCTATTATTCCTTCTATTTAATTAATAAAGAGAAAAGGTAGGGTAGGCGTTCCTGCCTCCCTTAGAGGAGGGGGTGCCTACTATATCCGGCGGTAGGCAGGGAGGGTAGGGCTCCGCCTATACCCGTAAAGAATAGTAAATAGTTAATAAAGGGTAAAGTCCTCCTCCTTTTCCTCTTTTCCTTCCTATAACGCTATAGAGCTTATTATAGGTATTCCTTATTACGTTCCCGCCTATAGTCTTATAGGCCTACTATCACAGCGTCGTACTAACTAGTAGTAACGTCTAGTTTCTGTATTCTTAATTTATAATTTTCCTATTTAATTTAGTACGTGGTTTATAGTTCATGGGTAGTATTACGGTGGTGCGGGGTTAACTAGGTAGTATAATAGTAATAGTAATAATAATAATATTAATCTTAAATATCGTCTTAATATAAGTATCTCTATATCGTGGTAGCGCTATAGTAGTAGCGTACTAATAGCCGTAGATACCTTCTCCTAGTAATAATAATCGTTATTATAAATAAGGCACTATTCGTGTTATGCCGTATATATACCCTAATAATACCGAAATAGTATCGCGGCGGCTAATATATAGTAATTACTTACGTTATAGTAAGTGTCTAGGTACCTATCCGGATAACGTTAAGGCCTATACTAATACTATAGGAACTAGTAGTGGGTGCTTTTAGTACGCTAATAGTTAACGCCTATATAAGGATATAAGTCGTCTTTATACCGTTAAGGTGCTACCGGTATATTAAGATAGTCTAACTAGTTAATAGGTCCCCCCCGTTACTAAGAAGCAGTAATAACGTTTTATAGACGTTTATACTCTTTATCTATTAGTAAAGGCTACCAGTAGCGGTAGTATCGCTATAATAAGTAGTCTCCCTTCAATATTATAGTAGCACCTTACTAATAACCTATAGGCTAAAGAGCGTCTAAAGACGGCGGCTTTATCCTTTAGATAGGCTATTGCTCGGGTGCTACCTTCCGGTTATAGCCGTGGCGGTACCTTATTAGTAGAGGTGGTTTTATAGAATATTCTCCGCTGGACTTATCGCCTAAAGGGCGTAATAGGTGTTCTTATAGACTATTATGTATATATTTTCTTTTTAATTTTACTATAATGCCTCTACAGTAGTAGTATAGCTAACTAGTTCTAGGGCCTTAAGTATTATAAGAGTAGTGTTAGCACCTCCGAGGGGGGTAATACTAAGATTAGCGAGGAGTAAGGGGGGGGTTCGGCTAATAACGCTTTAATACCGCCAGGGTCCTGGCTTATAGGGCCCCTATTCAATACTAAACCAGACCATTATATTATCTCTTCCCCGTTATAGTATCGCCGTGTTCTTATAGGCTTCTATAACTTCGAGGGCGAGGCGGAAGTCGTTAAGCCTCTTCCGTTATAGGAACCACTTAGCTATCGCCCCGGCTTCTATATTATAGTCTAGTATATTATATAGATCCCTTCTAGTCGTGAGTAGTCTTCCTACGGCACCGAAAAGGTCCTTACGCTTATCCTCGGTTATATCCTAGTACTAGAGTATTATATACTCCGCTATTTCTGCCCCCCTATCGCCGTAAAGGCACCGCGTTATTAAGAATCCCAGTACCCTTACTTTAGCTAGAAAAGCTTATAGGCCTAGTTTTTCTAATCTAATCTAGGTAAGTACGGAGCTTCATAGCTTAAGGAGTCCTTTATATTTCCGGAGGGAGCGTATATCGGAGGGCGGCTTAGTGCTGCTACGGTATAGGTATAAGGCTATTATACTACCGCCTAGACTTAACCCTATTCTCTTATTAGGGCCTTCCTCGGGGGTAAGGTTCCGGCCTAGGTTATTAGGGCGGTAAGCTAGGCTATCCACGCAAGGGCAGCGTGAGTTCTATAATATTAATTCGGTATTACTAGGGCTTTTACCGCGGCATATACCCTGGCTAATATCTTATCTTCGGTCCTTTCTTCCTATATCCAGAGGATCTTCCAGGCACTTA